AAATGCTTGAATCATCAGATTATCAGCATAAGGGGAATATCAATTTCCCATGTGCTTTTGGTGACCGAAATTCCTAGAAGAAGAAAGATATCGTCGCGACCCCTTACGGGGGCACCGAACGGGTCTTAGAACAAGCTCCTCTGCTCGCGCGTGGGGGAGTCCATGTCATTGACGTGAATACGTGAATCGGTCCTTTAGATGACAAAAATATATACTTAAATATAAAATATGTCATCGGTGGTGATATGCTTGCTTGGTTGCTGCATTGCTCAGAATTCAACAAGGGTATGTGTGACACAACTACTATTGCTAACTACTAACTATTCTATACTAACTAACTAACTAACTCATATCCAACAGCTACAATCACCAAACGCAAAGGGAGAAGGGCTATAGCACATTTGGCTCTTACCTTGCATTTAATACATAATTTAATTACATAATTTAAATATATAAATGCATAATTGCATAATTTAACTTGTATTTAATGTATCGCATTGCATATTAAGCTGAAATATCCCCTCAAGACTATCAGCATAAGTAGGAAAAGAAAAATGTTTATTTATCTTTTTGGTGTACAATAAAGAATACTCTCTCTCTTTCTCTCTCTCTCTCTCTGTCTCTTTCTCTGTCTCTCTCTCCCGTGCTCCCTTTGTAGGGTAATACCAGCGATGGAAGGATGGACAAATAACTCCACTACACCACCACAGTGGGCTACCCACAGGGTGGCTTAAGGTGGGTCCAACCGGATGTGGGGGCAATGATGGGGTTTGGCGGACAACACAGTGCCGCAGGGGGCACTCATTATGAGCGCTCCCGTACCAGTCCGATTGGACCGACAATCGCACCATAGCAGGGGCCCCCTCGCGCCTTATCATTAGGTGGTCTGGCATGCAAGAGAACTAAATTGTGGAGGTACTCCTGGGCTGGGGTACACCGTCGGCCCACTCGCTTATAACACGGGCTCCAGGCGATTAGTGTATCATTGTCGTATGACAGTGTTTTGTTCAAATTCTGATATTATCATAAACATACCCCAAAATTATGTATGAAAGAAAAAGAAAAAAAATCAAAATATTAATTACAAATCACCTGAATTTAGGAACGAAGTTCCTTATGGGACGATGCGGAGGGGTACCCTAACCGGGAAAAAACGTCCGTAATGTAAGATTTTTATTAGTAATGCACACAGTGTACGACTTAACTTTGTAATAACGTACAAAAAATAACATATTTTTTATCATTCATTGACCACGATCTCAGAGCGTTCGTTTGCGCAATACACTAACTCTTATGCAAACAACCATGAATAAAGTGTACCACAATAAGTTCGCATGTTACCGAATGACCGTGGGTTGTTGCGAAACCTCCAGTTTTATTTTCTTTATACCTCTAATAGAACTTAAAATTAATATTTTTATAATAAGGAACTTCATTCCTATCCGGTGTCCCATGACACCACACATCTTTTTTATATATATGAAGGCGTATTATATGCGAACGAAATTTTTTGTTTAAAATTCGCAGAGTAAAAGTCGCAAGCGCCTGAACAAACTGCAGCCAGAGTGAACGATGGCGTCGCATTGTGTTCCCGAAAACATCGGGGCCATTGTGTTGGATTTAGGTCGACTGCATTTTAGCTTTAAAACACGCTATTCCCTGTTCAATTTTACCTCGTACGTTTCTTATAATGGCGGTAAAAATATTTCAGTAGTTTCTTTAAGAAGTTAAATACATTTTTTAAAAGAGTTGGCTCATATTTCGCTGCTTGGAATTGTGTGACTTTGCAAATAACTGCCATCCGTAAAATAAGCGAAAAAAAAAGTTATTATAAGTAACAGGGTTTTTCAGACGAGAGTTCATAGAAATTACTTGTAAGTTGTGAGCTCGTCGTTCTGAATTCAAATTAGATTAAAAAACATTAACCAGAGCGTTGCGTCAATAAAATATATTGTTAATACACGTTTAGAGTAAAACATTGTTCTTTGTATTTTATTTGGATCTATCAATTTGTTCAAAGTAAATGTACGAAACATTTGGAATTAAACGTTTTTACAGCGCACATAACCGTAAATTTATCTTAATCATTCCCTAGTGAATGGTTCAGCGCAGAATTCTTCATTCCCAGCGCGCTTGGCGGCTTCTCTCATTTGCTTGCCTGTTACAACTCTTTTTTTTTTTTACTTTATGCACAAAAGTGGCGGGCTTAATGCCTAAGCTATTCTCTATCAGTCAACTGAGGGTAGTGTAGAGAGTACTGTGGTAGGGCATACCTTTTTGAGAAAAAGAGAAGTATAATAATAATAATAATATATTTAGACGTGGTCCACGAGACTACCACCTTCACTACTGATTCAATCATCATTGTTCCAATAGTTGTGTCGATACACGGTTTGATAGCGAAAAGTTTCGCCTGACACCTTAAGAAACTTTCGTTATCCAGCTGGACTAGGGGCCCGGTATACAAATATACAGTATATCTTTGATAAGGCGCGTATTGTTAGGGATTTCTCAGTCTGGAGCCCTAACCACTGGTGGCTTGTGTCGTAGACACTGCCATCAGCGGCAATCTATTTTTTATGTGTTGTTTTTTTTAAATTGTATTTTTATTTTATTTTAAATAGAGTAGGTATAATAATATATTATATATGTCGTGGATAACGACTTTTAGTAATACTAAGACGGTGGTTTTGATTATTATTTTAAATGATGAAATGTTGTTTTGATAAATATCACAAAATGAAGGGTAGACTCCGTAACGCCACAGTATAAAATGGCGGTACGTGGACAGAGTCGTGGCATTCCGTGTCAGACAGTCATTCCGTCCGTCTCAGTCAGCGAGTCAGTCAGTCAGTCGGTCTGTGGAACGAAACTGTCGGTTTACCCTGTCATTATGAAAGTTGTGTGTGTTGAGTTTCAATAATTATTATTCAAAAGGTTTTATTGACTTTTTATAAATTGAGTTCAACCAAATACGAGTGATAACGGAACCTACCGCTTAGCCATCCCTGACGTGTGCCGACATATATATACCTACATAAAGACAGACACAGACACACACAGACACACACACACACACACACACACACACACACACACACACACACACACACATACACACACAGTATACATACATTCACATAATACAATTTAACGCCGTCTATATTATAATATCAACTCTTGCATATGTTGTAATTGATGGATTCCTAACAGGTGTAGTTCTTCTCCATTAATTATTTTGTTTTGACGTAGAGTGTGAATGGACTTCGTACGCTTAACATTTATATGTCAAGAAATACATATACATATTTAGAAATCACAACAATAATCCTTTTACTATTAAACTATTATGTTTATACAGTTTAATATAGTTATCCTAAGTGCGATATTCCGTTTTGCTGATTAAGTGTTTCATATGATTTACTGATTTCCGCGGCGTAAATATACAGTCATTGTACAAAGGAAGCACCCAACTCTTTTTGTTTTCAACACAGACACAGACACATCCCAAGGGCGGGTTCTATTGTCTATCTTTGTTTTTAATCTTGTAATTAGCCAAATGGAACTTCAAGGGAACCATTTCGATGTCTGAGTTTTTCTTTCGAAATAAATATACATATTTATGAGCAAGTAAAATTTTAAGAATCTCATCTTATTATACTAGTTCAGATCATTTTCCATAATTCAGCTTAAACAGTGTTTTTTTACTAACCATATCGTAATATTATATTTTATTTATATGAAAATGGAATTTCATTAAATCAAACTGACAGCTATCACAGCGATAGTCTGGTAACAAAACCACATCTATACTAATATTATAAAGAGGAAAGATTTGTTTGTTTGTTTGTTTCGAATAGGCTCCGAAACTACTGGACCGACTTGAAAAAATCTTTTTCCATTAGAAGCCGACATTGTCCCTGATGAACATAGGCTACCTTTTATAATTTTTTTTTTTTGGTTTCATGTGTGTTTTAATGTTTCCGAAGCGAAGCGAGGGCGGGTCGCTAGTTAATTATAATTGTCCAAAACATATGTTTCTTTTTTGGTACTCAATTCATACTTTTTAGTACAAAAGCGTAGCCATCATACCTATTTAATTATTAAACACAATTTTTTTTTTTTGCAAAGTTTAGAAACTAAATGTAAGAAGTTCTTGTTATTTAATATTCAATCTGATTAAATGTGAAAATATAAAAAGTTCAACCCGTATATTATTATGTCGAATCAAAGAAATAAATATCATTGAAAATTTTAATCTATTCTAACTTTGAGAACTTATCATTTTTTTTGTATAAAGCCCGTATACTGGCAGTCATTAATTACACGTATAATGTAATTAAGGTAGAAATGATGTACTAGAGAAACGTCTTGTTGGTATGTGTAGTTTTGGCGTCTAATTGGCCGCTTGCTGTGCTTGTTTGTGGCTAATTGGATTATCTCAAATGTTTACGACGCGACGCCATACGTTCGTATCCCTCTTCTGTGGTTGCTGATTGTGCCCGTGTTACATTTTTGACGAATTCTGTTACAAATTTGCTACTTCGGATTCTCAAATTTCTGTTCATATTATTCATCAAACGTCATTCAATTTTTAATGGGGATTAATAATAATTGTTACCACCAGTTTTGAAAGGTTTTCTCAACTCGTCAATTTCTCGATCGGTATTATGATATTACTATCATTTTCACTTTATTCTACTATGAATAAACTACCATTTTGATATTTTGATCTTATTTAAAGTTTCTCTTCTGTTCGTGAAGTTAACTACAGTGACGTCACCCTAATCATGTTTCACTGTTTCATTATAAACGAGAAGACACTGTCTCCAAAATGTGGGCTTATAATTTATTCAAGCCAGACATATAACTAACGTTTTTTTTTGTTTATGCATATGAAAAGCAATCTAAAGTCTCGCGCTTACATATAAACTCTATACTTTGTCGACTTTCGTCTTAGCGCAGAATGAGAAGCTTCTATCTGTACGGAATACAGATTGTTTACTCAAGTAAATTGCTTTGTAAAGCTCGAGGCGGTTAAAAATGTTTCTATATCTGTCAAGGAGGCTGGGAACATAATCATCTTACGTCGACGATGTTATTTACAAAATGGCTTTGTATAAGCCAGTGTCGGAATAATATTTTACTGCAGTACGACATTGAGTGGCTAGTGTAAGAAGGAGTAAGAAGATCATCGATTTGTCAATACATCAATTTTTATAATTAAGGTAAATAAAATGTATACTTCATTTATTAAAAAATAATTCTTGTGATCATGATAATGATGATGGACATTAAATATTTTTTTCGAATCCAAATAAGCACACTATAATAACAAAGATGTGCTCACTAGACTCATGACTTAAAAATTAAGAAAAGTTATGAAAAAAGTGTAGCCCATTGAGTTTCTCGCCAAATCTTCTCAGTGGGTCGATATTTCGACTCTTAGCAAGTTACAAAAGTCTCTAAACTGAGCCCCGTGATCTCGCCTTCACCTACGGTGTAGCTACCATAAACCCTCGAGGCTATTAGCAATAGGCTCGCCAAAAAAAGTTGCATCCTTTAAAATATTCAAATTTATAATAAGCTCGTTGTCGTTACCACGTAAATTGTCTTAGATTCGATTTATAAAATTAACGAACTCGAGATCAAATCATTTAAAGTGGTTTTAAGTCTATACAATAACTTGAACGGCTGGGTCGGGTCATATTGTCAAATAAAAATCCGAAACAGATTAGAAAATATTCATTTCAACCTCGAAGCCTTGATCTAAGTTCTCGATTGTTCAACGAGACTTGTTCGTTAAGTTTATAATTAAACTCCGGTCAAGTTATAGTTAACTCCGGTATAGTGGCAAGGGATCCCGACAACTTCTTTGTTTGTTTACAGCTACGGTTTTAATTATGTTTTAAGTGCTTGATGAATTTGATAAATATTCAATTTGTTGCTAACTGATTTGGTTCAAGAAGTTATTTAAGGAGATTATTTTTGATATATTTATCGATACATAATGTTTGTGTACAATGTACCTACATTGTTTAAAATTATTTTAGTTTTTAATTTATTTAAGGATTGTTTATGCTTTATTTTATAAAATAAATATAAATTGTATTGTACGAGTATAAAGGTTTCCCTAAAACCTTAAAACCGGAACCCTCTATTTGGTCGCCACCGAAATATTTAGTAATAGTACCGATTCGGACAGGGTCACAAGATACTTTACGACCCGTAAAAAGGAAAATTATAATATTTGCATGTTATTCTTTTGAACACGTGTCCACTAATTATTTATTCATAAAAATTGGCAGCTACCTGCGCCATAGTTCAATCGCTTGATATACCGGGCGTCTTATCCGTTTGGCGACGACGACTAAAACTGAATTGACACCGCTGCTAAAGTTTAATAGAACCAGTATGGTTAGTGATTGCATTCCACCGCCAAGCGTAATTCTTCAGTGATTTTGATAATAACAGTCGCAGTAATCATTAAATGAATTAAATTAATTGTTTTTTTCTCATTCACTTCCACGCAATGAAACTAAGAAACTACGAAATTGCGCAAAAAAATGTTAAAATCCCCAAGTATTTTGATCTCTAAATATTGTGTTTTTTCAAGTATCAATGAAAGCATTCGGCAAGTCAAAATCGCTTCCCTTTCATAAAATACAAAGTGGAAATGAGAATTCTAACATCCGAAAGCCCCGGCAGAAAACGGAGTGGTGAAATAAAATTTGAATTTGTCCAGTTTGTGTGCCTTGCTATTTATTGTCTTCATTGAAATTGTAATTTAGTAGCATAATATAAAGCATAATATAAACTATCTAATAAGTCACTTTCAAGTAAAGGTCTATTCTCAATAGATGCTAAAATTCAAATATGTTTTTTCCGCCTTTTACAAAATACAGATCTCATACTTGGCCCAGTGTATGTGTACCCATCTAAATAAGCAATTTCGGGGAATAAGCTTCTTATTTTACTAACATATTTTTGTTATTATATACAAAGTAATATCCTGGGACGAAAAATCATAAAATTAGCAAAGTAAAACAAACATGGGAAGCCATTTGCCAAATTTTGTTTACTTACGGGGAGTACGCCTATGCCCGGGCAACTAGGAGCCGTCTATTTTGTATATAATTTATATGTATGGATTCAAGATCAATTCTCAACTGTATTACCAAGTACACGTATAAAAGTTTCAAGAAGGGTAGCTTGGAATTCTCCGAGGGTTCAAAATCAAACTATAACTTCCAGTGGACTTGTTCGAGTTATTTTGAAGGTTTAGTTATTTAGTTTCAGTATAACGGTACAAAATAATTGTGCACGTTGAAATATTTATTATTAGACTAGCTTGACCCGGCAGACTTCGTAGTGCCTCAATCGATAAATAAAAGACCTAAACTTTTGTATAAAATAAACTTAAAACAAACAAAAGGAATCCATTCGTTCGACGGGGGACACATCAAAGGAAAAACAAAATTGCTATTTTTATTTAATTCCGAGCACTTTCATATTTATTCACCTTTTAAACCTTCTCTGGACTTCTACGAATAATTCAAGGCTAAAATTAGCCCAATCGGTCCAGCCATTCTCGAGCTTTAGCGAGACTAACGAACACCAATTCGTTTTTATATATATAGAAGAAGAAGATAGAAGAAAAAGATTATTCTGTAATCCATGTCGGTACAAATAACTATCGTTATGCACTCTTTAAAGCTACAAACTTTTTAAAGAAGGTTGATCGTTTTTAGGGCGAAAACGAAGTTGCCGCTTTAAATCACGGAATTTCGTCAATAGAAATGTAGCTATAAAATTAAAGGTAAAGTAATAATGTTAAAGAGTTAAATTCATGCTGAGAAAACATATATTGTCAATATGTAAACTCAGCCTAATCGAAGCAGCGTCGGATGCGTATTAAAAAAAATCTAAATCATCATTGGTTTTGCCTCGGTCATGTTTTGAAATTCGAAAAGATATTGTGTATTTTTCCGAAATTCTTCAGTATATTTATATTATGGTATTTGGTAGTTGATATACAAGAAATGCTATCAGAAATAAACAAACCTACTTACAACACTCCAATAATAAACTTAGGACAAATAATCAGAAGTGGTATGCGTGAGAGAATTGAGTTAGAAATCGATTTGAAGATGTTATTAATAAATAAAATTTTACTTTACTAACCTCGTCGGGCTATTCGTTAGCAACTTTGGCTATTTTGCCATGGAGCTCGATTTAGCTTGCAGATTGGATTAAGTATTTTTTTCTCTATCTATTCGCTGGCAACCTAAGGGGTGTTCTAGACGGCTACGCGTGGTCGGGTAAGTATCAGGGCTAACGGTAGAACCTTTAAAAGACTTGACTAGTATACTTTAGATTTCTGTTGTTGCTTAAAGAACCAACAGCTTTAATTCTTTTTGGTGCAGACATGCAGAAGAGTTCACGACTAATTCAGGGTTAAGTAGTCACTGTTGCTCACAAAGTTTGCAAAAGGATACCACACGGGGTCAAACTCTCAACTCTATTGTTTTTTAATAATGCAGCTATCTTCTTCAAATGCGAAGCTTAGATAGATAGTACACTAGTTCTTACATTTACACGTACAGGCTCATATAAAACGCCCCACCATATGGATGAGTGAAATAGCTTACTTTGTTTTTTTTTTGTATTACTTAGATAGATGGAGCTCATAGACATCACTAAGCTAAATGTCGCTACTAATATTGAGACTGATATAATTTGAAGTTCTTAGTAACAGAGTCCAATCTTTAAATCGCAGAGTGCAGGCAGTTACGAAATAATATACTAACACACATTTTTAAATTAGAATTAGTTACGTAGATGTTTTAGAATTTTTTATCGAAATAACCGTTTTGTTATTTTGTTTTACTTCACGAATCGACAAACATTTTCTTCACTTATTCTTATGTCACCTATTGTCACTGCTGTCTATGTATAATAATGTTTTCTTTTCTTTTGATAAGGAGTTTCTATATCTATCAACTCCAATAAAGACATGGGTTTTAGGGCTCAGTTTTTACAATACAACAGCTGTCCCTACCCTTCAAGCTGAAACGCCAGAAAATATTTTCAAAAGTTTTAAAATGGAACTGTACAATTTTTTTAAACCTGTACAGTACGATTTCGTTATTTTAAACGTGTTAGTCGGTCATCCGGGCTTTGTGAAGTGGCAGCCGGCTCAAACATAAGTGCCATAAACGGAGATCCGACGGCCTTTTGAAAAATTACATTTATTAAATTTTCAACGCTATCCAACACTGTATCCGTTGATTNACATTTTCAAAAGTTTTAAAATGGAACTGTACAATTTTTTTAAACCTGTACAGTACGATTTCGTTATTTTAAACGTGTTAGTCGGTCATCCGGGCTTTGTGAAGTGGCAGCCGGCTCAAACATAAGTGCCATAAACGGAGATCCGACGGCCTTTTGAAAAATTACATTTATTAAATTTTCAACGCTATCCAACACTGTATCCGTTGATTATTCCAATTTTTCGCATCGTCCGTTCACGTTAATTGTTTTTCCAGTTCCATCCAATTCGCTCTTCAGTTAGCTTTACAATTTCAAAGTGTCATTTGATTCGTGATGGATTTCGGAAGTTTTTTGCCAATTTCACGGTTCGGAGCGATCCCCGATGGATTCTGTTGTTTCAACATACATTCAAACCAATAGATCTGCGAGAAAAATAAGAGTCCTTCTCGATGCTAGCTCGTTTTTATCACCGGAAATAACGTATGCGAAAAATAAATATTCTTTTTCCTGTTTCCAATACTGGTTTGTGCTTGGTCGCAGTTTTGCCTGCTTACTGGATTTTGTAGTGTACTGGAATCTTTTTAAAATTTTAAACACAGTAGTAAAATAAAATCGAATGGAATTACAGAACGGCTTGGAACAGCAATTACTACTTATGTGAAATTATAAAACTATTTATACTATTATGCTGAGTATCTATTAGATTTATTTTAGGGTATCTGATCTTAAGTTTCATACGATTGTGACGCAACGCATTCATAGACCATTTATTTAATGTTAATACAGAGCGCTAATTAATCTTGGTATCAATGTTGAGAGACCAGTCTACTACTCATCGGCTGGCACGCATAAACGGTTACCACTATTAGGTCTATTTCGGTATTCAGTCAGCATTGCAGCTTTACGAGTAGCAGTTATTGTAATTTAATTATGACTGCGACGTTGTATCTCAAGATGGATCAATGCGTACACATTGGGGTGATCATTGGGTTTTGTAATTAAAAACAATATATTTAACTGATTGTATACGACTGTGGAATTTGAATAACAGTAGTAATGGTTCGAAGAACTAACCGAAGAATGCAGTTTCGTATTCTTCAAATCGCAGTATGCATTGGTTTTTGAGGTAGCTCAACCCTTAATGAATCATCTCCTTTTGTGGCACTTAATACAAAGTAAACCGTGCATTTGTGGGCCAATCTAATAATGTTAAAATTTAATATGTTTAATCACATAAACAAAATCAACACACGAAATAAGATATGGAAATGATAAGAACGCCATAAAAAAAAGCAAGATCAACATTAACTTTAAATTAAAATAACGCACATAACGCGGCGAAATGTCTCAATTTATTAAATGAAAGCGTGACAAAAGCTGTAAATGTAGAATGGTCCTTTAAATCACACCAATCGCCACGCCTTCGGTCACCGAAATTGTATTTTCATGTAAAATTGCTAAAATGTAACCTTATTTCGTTATTTTCGTAGAATACAAATAATTAAGATTGCGATCTTAACATTTACAAATTCCTTATTTAGCCACCAGAATGTGTAGGAATAATTCATGTCTTTTATCTGTAACGTAAATCCGAAAGGTGTTCTAAATTATTTCATTTTAGCGAGATCCTAAACTTCCACACCTATAAAGATGTCTTTTCAATATTTATAATCACAATTTTGAAATAAACTTCCATTTCAGTAACCTTCATGAAAAGGCTCTGCTCTTTATTTCGATTTATTTTATTTTATATATATTTTTGCTTTAGAACTATTTCTACAGACTAATTGGCCTAAATACACTAGCTTATATAAGCGCGAGCGAGATTCAAGGATACTGATGGTACTATACAATAAATCTTCAGTGAGAAATACCACTTTTTTTATTGTCCTTGTAGGTAGACGAGCATACGGCCCACCTGATGGTGAGTGGTTACTTTTGCTTATGGACGTCAGTAATGCCAGGGGCAGAGTCAAGCCGCTGCCTGCCTGCCTGCCGCTGCCCGTTAAGTACCTAAGCCTTGTTTAAAGGATATGTCATAACGCTCGGGAAAGACCGTGGAGATAAGCTCATTCCGAAGCCGGATGGTATGTACGTGGCAAAAATTTCTCGAAATATAATGTGAATGAACGCAATGACTCCAGGTAGTATGGATGAACTCTACTCTAGTGGTGGGCGGTGCGATGGTAAAAAACAGATGATGGGATCATCTCAAACAATTCCTCAGAGCACTCCTCATGAATCATTGGGTATAAAATACAAAAAGAACTGAAATCCCTCCGCAGATCCAGAGGTTTTCTTTCAATACAAATTTTCGTTATATCAAAATTTCGCTAGCACGTTATTTATATGTGTGATTATGTAATTTGTTTTTTAACGAGTTGAACTGAGCACTGGTGAGTTGAACACAAGAAATATATTTAAATATGATTCCGAATCGAATATCGGAAAATAATATGTAAAGGAAAAGGCACTTTTTACTATGTTTTATAAAAAAAATTATTAAATCAATGCTATTTGGGTATCTGTTACATATTCGTTAGTGAAAAATTTGAAACCGATCGTGTTTTTTTATTTTTGGAAAATTTAATGCTAATATTTATTGTCTTTTTACGCGATTATCCTATCTCAGGAGTTAGCATAAACGAGTTATTTGTCACTGCTTTGTTTCAACAGTGCGCAAATTCAAAATAATCAAATGCTTAACGATCCAAATGGATATCTTGAGCCGAGAAAAGCCGTTTCAGCATCGAGCATTGAATCCGTCGTATTGTTTTATAATCCGAATCGTAAATATCAGTTGTAAATTGGAATCGTTATCTACTTTGACTTATTATGATCGACACCTCTGTCGCCATTTGTTTATTTTCAGAAAGTAATTGCTTTTTGGAGTATTTTCATTTAATTTATTTTTTGGGAATACTTGGGAATATTTTTTGGCCTTAAGTCTCCAGATAAATTGTTAGAAAAACACTCCAAGCAAACATTGTATACTTCGTCAATACTAAAGGTTTGTCACTTAACTTTGTCTTTTTACAATGCTGTATTAAAACAATAATTTATTTTCTTTCTATTTTTAGAATGTCTCGATAAGGAAGAATGAAAGAAGAAAATAAATTATCAAGAACGCTACATATTCATGGATTTCTTTGGTGTAGTTGTTGTGATACACTCACTTAAGAGTCCGTGCTTATAATGTAAGACATCCGCTGTACTTCGGCTATTCTGGTGAGTTATAATACTCATGAACATACGATTTTATGTTCAATAGCACTGTGCCGAACACGTCTTCTCGGACGATATTACAATGAAAAAAAAACAACATCGTTTAATTAAAACAAATTGTGAAAACTACTATTATTGTTAGTGGACTAGATCTGCGGAAGTATAGATTTACCAGTCAAATTCCAGATGGAATTATTTATAGTGCGTTCTGGCTTAAAACCTAGTAGATCTTCCGATGCAATGATGACTCTGAGGTCAAATTTCAAAATAGGTGGTGGTTCATAGTGATGGCTGTGTAGGTGACGGCATTAACGACATTGAGTTTCGTCTGTCTATCTATATAGGCTTGCTTGGACGTAATATTCTTCAAGTTATTTATTTATTTTGCGAATGTCTAACCAGGTTACGGGCAATTCACTCTTATCACAAGTCCGAGCTAAATAATTTGAATATAATAATATGACTTAGCAGTTCACCTGTTTTTGGAACTAAAGGCCAAAAGCATTTACATATTGTGGTCCGTAACAGACTCCGGCGACTCATAATCATTACTTGCCAAGCGAAATTAGCCCCTAAGGTGTTCTAGCCAGCAACTATCCCCACTTTATTATCCCGAAAACGTGCTCATTCATGTTAATTCGAGACGTTTGATGTGGTTTACAGTATCAGTTTCTCATTCCACTACAATTAAGTACAGTATAATACCCAATTGTATGCCAAATAATAACAAGCGTATTTTGCTCACAGCCTTGTTCGTTTTATAGATAGGTATATTTAGTTTTTTTTTTGGATAATTATTTGCTTCGTTGGATTGGATAAATTGCACATAAATTTAGAATTTATTATTTGTACACCTTTTTTTTAGATCAACTTTTTTTTGTTCAGACGAGTGAAAGAACTAACAGCTCTCCGGTAGCTGTTTGGTAACCGGAGCACATAGACATCCTAACTTGAATGCTTTCACCAACTTGAGACTTGAGGCTGATGACTCAATTGTATATTCCATCATCGTGGAAGTCATTCGTGGACATTAGTTAGGAACGTACTAAAGTGATTAGAAAAATTTGTATCTGCACCCGGGATTTAAACAATGGTAATTTTATACGAATACACCAGGCATCTTATATCTTAGGCCATGACAACTGCCAATCGTACAGTATCATACAGACAGTACAAGAACACTTCGAGAACAAATAAATTACGTCGAATAGTTATTGAATATTCTCAGAATACTGAGAAGAAGCCTTTTATTATCGAAAAGTTTTAATAAATTATCAAAATTAATCCTCAACAAAAATACAAAAACTTTAATCTTAAAACTTGTTAATACTAAATCATTCTCTTGAACATTTAGTGAAACAAGCAATTTATAATATTTTAAACTTGAATTGTATGATTTGCTAGAGTCGCGTCGAAATTTTTATCTGTTGATCAAATAGACGACAGACATCTCGCTGGCGACAAATTTACTCTCGTACTGTACGATTTTAATCATAGCTTTCTTACACATTTTTTTCGTTTTAAAATTGTTATGAAGAAATAAGTGCTACTAAAATCTACTTAGTTGATTTGAAATTTTCATGTCCGTATTGGATGCGGGAGCCATGCAGTGAATCGCTTAATTAATTGTAAAATGTTCATGGAATTTCTTCCTGGCTCGCCCATGTTACTGATGGAGGGGGAAAAATCACTTGATTTTGCATAGATGAAAGTTTTGGCCTAAAGCTAAAGTATCCAGTGTTATCCAATTTTTTGAGACTATCCAAAATAGTTCAAAACCCGCAGGCAAGTTGTTCATCAAACTGTTCTAAAGAACCGTTATTAATGAACAGTTAACTGTATGAAGAAATAGCGTCGTGCGGTAAACATGAAAATTTGTGAGAGGGAGACATATTATTTACTTATTTTACATTATTTTATTTCATTTATTCATTCATTCGCATATTTCGGATACGAAACTGGTATGCCTTCCAGTTTTAAGGGTGGGATAGTCGTTATACAATACAAGTGAGACTTCTATGAGCTTCGGTAAATAGTCCTTAGTGCAATGACAATAAATCACTTCTCAATCTTGCTGTTACTGCAAAAAAATGTTTTCTACTAAAAGCCAGGGCGTTTTTAAATGAACGTGAACCCAAAAACGTGCATGGAAAAAAGCAAATACCTCTGCATGATAATAACAGTGTAAAAATAAATTTATTCGGTAAACATGTATTTACCTGCGAAAGAAAGGTTAAAATTTCTTTTTCATTTGTTTATTGTATACAATATTGTGTACTACACAAATGCAGAATGCAGTTTTGCCGAAGCTTTAGCCATTATTGTCGATACTCGCACTAATTTGACCGAATTTGCGTAATGCCCTGCAATTTGACCAGACTCGCAATTCTGGGTTATTATCATTCCGCCAGGTCTACTGTAGCACAAAAATTAAAATCGAGAGAAATTACAAATTTACTTGTGAACGATGTTGCTTCCAAATTATTTCTACTGTTATGATGCTAGTACAAATATAGGCTTTAAATTGTTAGTGTTAGAAATGCAGTAATATTGTCTTCATTATCGTAAACATTAAGTGTGTTATTTTTGAGAAGTGATCTTCTTTTGACGATAGATCATATCAAGCTTTCCTTATTTTTCTCGTCCACTTCGCTTTGTTTTTGACATAATCGTCAGTAGCATTGCATTCCGTCTTATCCTTCACAACTACATCTTTCCACCTTGTCGTGGGTATTCCCGAAGATTACAGACCATTTATTTGTTTTCAGTGCCAAGTTTTTCATTTTTTTTAAATCCAAAAATTTATCATTTCATACAGTGTTAAAAGCACAATTATTTCAGCTAATACAGAAAAACAATATATTTCAAAATTAGAACGTTGCGGTTTCAAGAATTCATTCTTAAACAATGGCTTGGCACAATGCCAAATACAAATATAACGCACCTGTCATCTCCCCTGTCAAAATGAGTCCGAAAAAAAAGTATCGAAAAAACAATTTGGCACCTACGATATTGTGTTACATTTATTTTATCGCGATGAAAGATTTTGTACAGTTTATTGTATTAAAAAAGTTACTAACAATTAAAACTTCATTTATTCTTTTATCTAACAGTCTTGATTGTACAGAAATTTTGACAAAATTGTGATTCGGTTTCACTATAAATTTAGTCGTATTGTAAAGTTAGTGATTGTGTTCATCATATTGTGTCTATGGGCTATGGTTACTCTTAAGCCAGATAAACTGGGAACTCATCGGCCCATCTATACTTTATTGCATCAAATAATGTCAATAGAATGCCCAGCAGGCCTACAACACTTGTTACCATCAGTACTCGAAACAGAAGTCAGACAAAGTGGGTAAAATAAGGGAAAGGTATGAACAAATGATGTAAAAGTTGCTTAAAATAATAGGAGACCGGAGGGTGACCGGCGGGAGAATGTCCATATTTTCTAAATAAAAATCGATATGCCCATTACTGCGATTAAATACAAAATATTTAAAAGGATTTATGCAATCTAACAATTCCATTTAGTCTCCACGTGTCAACCGATATTGACCGACAAAATCAGACACGAGACGATAGACGCCAGCGCGTGGCGAGAAATGAAATAAAACAACTGTTGCCGAATACGTTCTTTATTGACGTGGAGTTGGCAACTTGAGGAAATAACATTTGACATGGGTCAGACACAGCTTGAAGAACAATGTATTTATTTATTTATTGTATTTCAACTTTCTACATTTTCAATGAATTTATATTTTATTTAAAATCATTAGATACTTTCCATTTCTATACCTATTATTATACTATTTTGTACGTACAAATACAACAAAACAAGACCCACTATGAACCTATATTTATTGTGGTAAGTAAGTTCTTCTTGTTCTTTTTCTTCACCTTGTCCCACTAGGTGGGGTCGGCACAGCTAATTTTTCTCGTCCATTCTCTTCCATTAGCTATCAGCTCAACACTCATTCCTCTATTTCTCATATCGTCATTCACACACTCCCTCCATGTCTTCTTCGGTCGACCTCGTCCCCCTCTACCTTGCACTACCATTCCCATACATCTCCATCTTCTCTCTTCGCATCACATGTCCATACCACCCTAACCGTAACTGTAAACTACCAAATATTAGCTACACATTTCCATTTGACTCCATACCGAAGAGGACATTCGGATTGTCGATAATCTCGAGAATCGTATCGGTATACAAAAAGACTTGTCGCTGTATAATATTGTGTCATTTGGATGTGGAACAGGGAATCCCCGAACACAATCATTATTTGTTGATTAGAATCAGTCCTTAATCACTTGTAATAAATACATAAAGGTTATGATTTATTGAAATAAAAATATTTACAAACAAATAATTACAGAGCACAAATACCAAATCAATATCACTAAATACATTTATAGGAATAAGCTTGATCGTAATTGCATTCTAAATTCGGACTTTTCCATGACGAATAAAATTTCATTAGACCTATACTGGCATCTCATTAAAATTTTGATGAAAAATGTTATTGAAACGACAGTATACAGCGTTTTATAAAAGAGTAAATCCTCTAAAATCCTCATGTGGTTGCCGACGAGACCTTGTAGCTTGCCAGTTTTGCCCGCCATGTTCGCGTAAGCCGAGGATTACATTAAATTACATAAAGCACAAAAACACGTTACGCTCAATGAGCCTGAGATCACTTTACTGATATTAAAATTTATGCTCCAGCAATTTATTTGTTAAGGTATTGTTTTCGTCTCTGAAACAAACCTAAACATTTCAATTGTCAAAAGGCTGGATTTCTCATTAAAGGTATCGGCAACTTATGATTTCCAATTTTAATAACACAGAATAGCAGTAATATACGTCATAAATTAAATTAATTGAAAATTTGATAGACTAACAAATAATGTTCCAGGAAATTTAACCGTAACAATTTCAATTCCTCAATTCAATTCTTCAGAACAGGAAAAAGAACAAAACATATAAAACACAGCACTAGTTTTACAAGAAAGAAAAAAAACTGCATTTTCCCTTCAATTTAGTATATAAAACTATATTCAAACATGGCGTTCCGTCCCCACCCTGTAGTCAGACAGGAAGCATTGTTTAGTCGAGTACTTAAAAACTAATCCTACCTAGTGCTATTAAAACAAAGTGCAGTACAACACGGTGATTGGTCGAGAGCCCCTCGCAGACTTCGTACGAGTCTAGTGCCCCTGTGTCTATAGTTCACCCTTTAAGTTGCTGCTTTAGTTTTAATTATGTACGTGACGTGCATTGTTGAAGCTTCGTCGTGTAGTTTAAGGTTTAAATGTTAAAGTCTCTTTTGGCAGTTACATTAAATTAATTACCTAATAGACATAACCATTCTAATCGGCGCCATCTAGGCGGGCTTCGGATAGCCTGCCGACCGAGAGGGCTGGCGGTCGTGGTGCCGACGACCGCCAGTCCAGCGTCCCGAGGGGGAGGGTGATGGGAGAGATGTGCTCCGCACTAAGCGCTTCACTTTCCCCCCTTTGCCTTTTCATGAGTTCTGTCTCATGCGAGGTTTGGATGCTGGTTGTTGAGTGACAGGAGGTTATAGTCGGTTCAACTCCGACATGCCCCGCCCTCCATCCCCAGTGGAGGGCGGAAGTTCGGTTATTTTCTCCTGACAAAAAAAAACCTAATAGACATAAAAACAGTTTCTGAATAAAGGAGTGGGTGAAATGCTCTTATAGAAACTTAAAATATTCGTTTCTAATATTTGTCCTGTGATCAACGTGATATTGTAAAAGTAGCATTGTTGTTTATACGGATTTTGTTACCTTTGTGAGCAAATAAAAATAAGGTCCACCTGACATCAAGATCAGCGTTGCTCGAAGACAATGATACGGGCACAGCCAAGCCGCAGCCGCTGCTTAGGGCTTCTTTCAAATCTGGTTTGAAGAAAGATGTGTCATAGCGCTTAGAAAACACCGTTGAAGGGAAACTCATTCCAGAACCGAATGGTGCGTAGCAAAAATATTTTCTGGAAACGCAGATCCAGAAATAAGAGAGGTATTGTATGTTAGGTCATGTTTTTTTTAAAACTTTGATGGGTGGACGAGCTCACGGCCCAACTGACGTTAAGTGGTTACTGAAGCCCATATACATCTACAATGTAAATGCTGCCACCCAACTCGAGACACGAGTTGTAAGGTCTCAATTTTAAAAGTAAAACGGGTGTCCCACCCTTCAAACTGAAGCGCATTACTGCTTCACGGCAGTAATAGGCAGGGTGGTAGTACCTACCTACCGGACTCACAAGACGTCCTTATTAGAAATTAGGTTGGCTTTACCTTTCAATTGGCTTCGCTATTGAATGCCACTCAAAAAGATCGATCCAAGAATCTCAATAGCCTCAGAAAGTTGAAAAATTATGCCTTGACATTTCTGCGCCAGACTTGTTGGCAGTGAACGCGCATACCTGTCTTTAAATGAATTCATAATAATAATATGTACTATGACTAAACTACTATGATTTTGTATATATAATAAAAGATTGTATAAAAGAATCTGACGAAGCAGTGACTTTAAATATTGATAAACAGTAAACCGATTACAATTAATTTTGAATAAAAAAATTTCTTCGCCTTTATATATTAAGTGAAACAAAAGGTTATGTGAGTATATACCAAGACCTCTGATTGGCTGTATTTCAATGAATAGAACAATTCAACCCTTCAACAGCGGTATCGGGTTGCGGTCATGGAGCCAGGAATATCAATTAACAAAATGGCCGCCGAACTAACCCGAGCATGTCGAAATAGAAAAAAAAAACTATGTTTGTATATTTTGACCTTTATGGTTGTTCCAAGACATAGACTGCAGCGAATACTCACAAGCGAGGAGGGTTATTGTAATTTGATTATTGAAAAAATATTGTGTGTTATGGACCTTCTTCATATCCAAATATGTACTTCGTTTTAGATCAAGCACTTTCTGTGTAAATCAACAATAATAATAATAATAGAACACTGCTGGTAGGACGTCTTATACAGATAGGTACTACCGCCCTGCCTATTTCTCCAGTGAAGCAGTAATACGTTTCCGTTTGCAGGGTAGGGCAGCCGTTGTACTGTTAAAACGGAGCCATTAAAACTTATATCTCAAGGTAGGTGGCGGCATTTTCGTTGTAGATGTCTATGAGCTACGGTGACCACTTAAAACCAGGTGGCCCGTGAGCTCGTCCACTCATCTAAGTAATAAATAAATAAAATACATATTAATAAATTAATAATTGGATGTATTGGTTCCAGAAATTTCCCTGCTTTTTAAGAAGTGTTACTCGTAAGAAGTATAGAATAATAAGTTGGATACTGGTGCTAAGCGGTTGGTTCGACCAGATCCGCTCTTGATTCCATATTTCACAACGCCCTCTACACCGCCAGAGACAGAAACAGATGAGAAAGATCGTGCGAGAGAAAGTGATACAGAAGGGTGGTCACGATCCTCAGCATTGAAGAATACGATGCAACAAGGAGGAGGTATTAACCATATAAATTCGCAACATGATGTACCTCTGATACGGAAACAAATTGTTGTTTTAACAATTATGAGCTTCATTAGGAAATTTTGGTATGTGACATTCCCTATTTCCAACTTATACAGAGCAAACCTCTGGCCGCAACCGAACGGTTTTCATTAATAACCGAAAATAATTATGTTATAATTCAAAACAAAGACCAAGCTAAGTTTGTTAACAGAGTAAACTCTCTTCGCTAAAATATTATAGTTGGGGTAACCGAAGTGTACGAATCATATTTCAAAGTATCGATATTATCACAGAGTTTGGATGTTATAAATATTGATAAACGACAACATAACGTTGTAAACAATGGTTTTATTGCTTCCCGTTTCAGTTCATTTAACTGGCACGTGACTGATTTCGTGGGGCAAACACGAATGTTTGGTATTTTATTTATTGGTTTTCTGTATCAGATTTTTTACTCACCATTTTTGTTTTTAATTCAAAATCAGTTTCACATGGGGTCGAATAATGCAGGAAGATTGATTTAGAATTGTACATTAAAATTTATTAAATACAAAAGTACTATAGAGTTTTCAACTTTGCAGCCAAATTTAACACTGTACACCTAATGACGAAACCTTCAAACAATAGTGACTTTTTAATATAGGTGCATAGTATTTAAATAAGTAGCCAGTAAAATGAGAGTGAAAATACCAAATGGTGGTATGTGTGGAAGGACGAGAATGCAGAATGTAAATTACAGTTACGTTGAAGATTTACAGTGTCATGCCAGGTAGATGAGTATATGGTCTACTTACAGAAATATTAACGTCGCTGACGTATCCATAAATAGTCCGCAGAGAAGGTTTTAATCAATAAAACAAATGAAGTTGATCATTGATGCACAATTTGACAATTCAGATTAAGAATGGTCTCATGTTACAACTGAGCAAGTATCTGCTTCCACAATTACGTAAAGCTATTGAAAGCTTGTCAGTTCACTTATAGTTAAAAATGGTTCATTAAAGATAAATATATTTTGGATTGCATTCCCAAAAGGTATAATACAATTTAGTAACGCTAATAATAATATTATAATATGTGCACGGAATAAAAGCGTAGTTAGTTGCTTTTTATTCTTACCGAAATTGTCGGAGGATTCACCCCTATTTACGTATGCGGATGTGTGTGGTTTTGTTTCTATTTGCACTAGTAGGGTGTGTACTCGTAATTACGGGATCGGGACAAGTCCCCAAGGCGAGGCGACCACAATCCGGAATTAAAATTTCGGCGCGACACTGGAAATGGTTTGCAGAAAAGAAAAAGTCTATCACAAACAAAAGAAGAGAAAAAAACTTATCTAAGAAATATTTTATAAAATAATAATTTACGGATGTTTATTTTTTAATATGTATTATTCATTCCTAGCAGTTTTATTGATTAAAAAGAATTAAACGAAAGTATAATTTATCACGAGGAAGTTAGTAAATCAGATACCGTACTCTTAATTTAAAAAATTCGGTAATTCATCAAAAAAAAAACACAGTATAAATATTATGTCTATGTACTTTTGCGAACACGTGTTTTTCATCGTTTCAAAATGAACTGGCTCCCCAGTTTTCCTACTAAAATATTTTACGTGTTAATTAGCGCGCCCGGCTTCGCTCTTTTGAAATGTTACATGAGATACAGAAATTAGTTGAAACTAGTCGCGCGCCACCTGCCGTACGTGAACAATATCATGTCAGAAACTTAATCAAAACTACTAACGTAATGAAAGCAAAGTTTGAACGTGTTAGAAGTTCTAGAAATGTAGAACGTTTTGAAATAGCCGACGTTTCTCTTGTTTAATCCATCATATTCAGCTAACATCACAAAATTGTTCTAGTGCATTTATTTCTAAGTTCGACTCTGTCTTCCTTAAATGAACTAGGGCCATGTTCATGGTAATTCTGGGCCTTACCTGAATGCCGATGTAGCACTACAGGGAATAAGGGTGATAAATATTGTACAGGCTCGCCTACAATCCCGGAACTGCGGGCCCGTTGAAGTAATAATTAATTGTACGCGCTGTTTCCACGGGAATATATCCTTCACTGTCCATATTTGATTCGCAGAAAAAATACAGCTAACCAACATTGTTACAAATCACAGACACGAAATATATCGTTTTGCATCCTATGATTAGAAATCAGAGATTGAAGATAAAAAAAATGTTGATGTCTCAATTTTATTTTATTATTAATTTACTGCTCTACGAATTTGTTTAATTTCTTCACTTTGAAAATAATAAATATCCTCTGCTATTACTTATCCCTTTATGTAATTTAAAGTTTGATATACAAAATTAGAGGCAAAACGAAGTAAAACAGTTTCAAAATTTTGTTCGAGTCAAAGTTTTTATTTGAACAAAAAATAGCCGAAAAAGATTGTTTCATCAACGGGAAATTTCAAAGAGATCCCTCAAAAAATAATTAAAAACATCACAATATTAAACGGCCTGAGTACAGATAAATTTTTGAGAGAATTAATTTAGAATAGATGAAAGCCTTTCAAAGTAAATACTAAAATCCTTATTTCAAACGAAATCCTCACAAATAGAAATTCATTCTTTTGTTTCTTTTAAACGAAGGTCGCTTGGATTTATTAAAAGATTTGCTCGCTTTGAGTCTACTTAAAAATCAATTCGGTCTCCACTCGTTTCAATCAATCAAAGTCCGTTTGAAAATTCGATCACAATAAGAGACGAGTGGAGAAGGATTACGATACTGGTTCTGAAAATACGGTACGCGATTGAAATATTTGTGATTAAATGAAATCTCTCGATGGGCACTCGAAATTATTCTAATTGAAGTGATAAATGTTAATGGATTTTATCATTTAGATCTTAGGTAAACTTTTTTAGGATTTATTTAATGTAGTTAGGAAGACTGTAGTTAGTTTTAACGCACTTAAGAGTCAGGTGTTGCATATAATTTTTTTTCAATTGAGTTCGCAATTACAAAACTGTGCAAATACATAGCATTGTGCTTTAATTTTTATTTCGATCGATTTTTTCTAATTTTTTTTTATTGCCCACGTAGGCAGACGAGCACACGGCCCACCTGATGGTGAGTGGTTACCGTCGCCCATGGACTTCAGCAATGCCAGGGGCAGAGCCAAGCCACTGCCTACCGCTTATTTCATTCATTATTATTCATTCATTTCATTATTACCGATTCATTGACTTACATCTTAGTAATTTATTTACAATTTTAATGTCGTAGGCAGCGATTAAATCAAAACCGTGTGTATTTCCTTCCGGCAAGCTAACTGAAATACTCGTAGCTAAATTTCATTGATTGTCATCCAAAAAAAAACTCAGTAGTCACTAAATAAAAAAAAACTGGGTGTTTTACCTGATACGCTACAGACGCTTATGGTATACCATTTTAAAATATAATTACATATTACAAAACTCTTAGTTATGTGTGACTGTCTGAGTTTGAGCACTTGGAAAAACTAAAATAATTTAATTTCGTTGCCTCAATGCTATAACACAAACAACTTAAACACTTACCCGCACTTGTTAAAGTCACATAAAGACTGAACATAAGAAATTCTGCAAAAGATGATATCAATATTTTCGATTATAATTGCTATGACAAAAGAATTATGTGTGCACACTGCACACAAACACTACGTGTGTTTCCATTGTTAAAATGACGCTCTACGAAATATTTAATTACGAGACTGAACGTAAATAAATAAACCACCCTATGGTCGACTGGAAGAGAATGCCCATGGCATTAAGTCCGCCTGTGTACAAGTTTTGTTTTGTGCATATAGTCTAAATAAATAAATAAATAAATAAATAAATGATTAATCAAACACGATGATTAAAGAAAATGATTAAAAGCAGTTTTATGCTTTAATACAAGTGTTATTTTATTTCTTCAAAACGTTGCAATGTTTTTAATACTAAGTAGTAGTATATGAAGTAGTGTAGTTTATAAAGTGGAGTAGTGTATAAAGTAGTAGTATAGAAAGTAAGTAGTAGAATAATAAATGGGACCTGAGACTTTTAGTTTATTTTTGCGAATTTTATTAGTCGTGAAAAACTAAAATAATAACATTTGCCCTGACAAAGTCATTTCCCGTTATAAGAAAAAGGATATATAATATATGTCATAATTTTTAAATTGTATGCGACACGACCATTATTTTGAAGTAAATAAAACAAAACACGGGTTTTATAAAGTTATAATTACTGTTGTTTTCCATAGTTGGTGACCATGACAATGTGTATTAGTAGTTATGTATGAAATTAGTTACAAATATGAGTACGTTGTGGTGTTGTGACGAGACTTGGGAGAGGCCTATGTCTAGCAGTGGACGTCTGTGGGGCTGAAAGTTAGAAGAAGAAGTTTACCTGTTGGGCCATATATACAAACCAAAAACCGCCCCTAACATAAATGAAATCGTGACGTTAAAAACAATGGAAACGAAACCACGCGATCTATATCTCGTTCTCAATCGAAAGCGCGTGAAGCTCGAGCCGAGCGTGTAGTGCACACGATAGCCATCTACCGGCCGATAGCGCAGTTAATAATGTAAGGCGATAAATAATGCAGGTGGAATACCACTCAACTCCTAGCTTTAGTACTTTAGATTTTCACACATGTTAAGTTCAGACTATATCATGCAAAATTATTAGGTTGGAAAAGGCGATTTTATCTCTTCGGACACCTTTTCCGGATTTTTATAATAAACTAGCTGACCCGACAGACTTCGTAGTGCCTCAATCGATAAATAAAAGATCTAAACTTTTGTATAAAATAAACTTAAAACAAACAAAAGGAATCCGTCCGACGGGGGACACATCAAAGGAAAAACAAAATTGTTATTTTTATTTAATTCCGAGCATTAACGTATTTATTTACCTTTTAAACCTTCTCTGGACTTCCACGAATAATTCAAGACCAAAATTAGCCAAATCGGTTCAGCCGTTCTCGAGTTTTAGCGAGACTAACGAACAGCAATTCATTTTTATATATTACGAGTATATATAGATTTACAGTAATTTAATTAGTGTATGAAATTGTGTTATAAGATCTTTTTTTTCCGTTGTTTCATCAAATTTGTTCGAGCATTAACCTCAATAAACAA